GTCTCCGAGGCGTCCTCCTGCTATGGCTATTCACTGATTCGTGAGAGTGCTGCGTGAGCTTGTGTTTAACCTGAGTCAGTGTGTCTGAACTTCCTCGGTGGCGGGAGGTAGGGGGACATCACAGCAGGCCATAGCCGATCAGAGAGGGAACAGTGTGAAAACAAGCAGAGGCACCCCAACATTTGCCCAACATATGGAAAGAAATAAAAGCATTGACTCTGACATTCGCTCCACAGCTCAGCCCAGCGTTTCCAGCACAAATGCTCAGCTCTGGGGCCTTAGGAAGGGGCACGTTAGAGAGTTGGGTTCAGGAGAGTTAGTCTTTTGAAGAAAATGCTTGAGGAGGAAGGTTGTACCCTATGGCAGGCAGACAGGTCTTGAGACAACACTACTACATAGCATATATGCTTTGCAGTGGACATGTTTCTGTGGAAACCTCTCTGCAAGAGGCTGAGCACCGATACTGTAATCATCTCTGAGCTTCAGCCCACATTCGTGGGTACAGAGTCCAGAACGGGGAGGCATGTTGGTCAGCTGGGGCTGCCATAACAAAATGCCACATATGGGGTGGTTTAAACTCACAGTCCTGGAGGCTGGAAGTCTGAGATCAGGGTGCCAGCAGGTTCGGGTTCTGCTGAGGATCCTCTTCCTGACTTGCAGATGGCACTTTCTTGCTGTGTCCTCACATGGCAGGCAGAGGGACCCACTCTGATGTCTCTTCCTCTTCTTACAGGGTCTCTAATTCCATCATCAGGGCCCCACCTTCTGACCTCCTCTAATCCTGATCACACCCCTAAGGCCCCATCTCCAGGGCTTCAGCACATGGGCAGTTCAGTCCACAGCAGGTGCCGACGGTGGTCAGCCCGATCTTGGGCACTCAGTCTGGGGGTGCGTGTTGGTCCTTTAGAGGAGCAGAGACACATGGTGAATGTCCAGAGGAAGAGGAAGCCAGGATGCAAAGGCACTGAGGGCTTTTCACCAGGCAAAGGGAAGATTTCAGAGAGAAAACAGCTTTTAAACATGTGGAGGGCTGTGCTGGGGCAGGTGATTAAGCTAGACTTGCATTTCTCTAGATGGCAACCACCTCGGCTGGGTGGACATAGCAGTGCAGCAGCTCTCAGGTCCCTTCCTGATCAAGAGCTGTGCCCTGGTCCTCCTGCAGCAATTAAGTAATGCCCCTACTCACATCCGAGGGTGGAACTTGGCGTTTCCCCTACAGTGAGTTTTCGGCATATGAGATCGCACAGTGATCCCAGCACTATCTCCATCCTTCTGGTCACTGCCTCGTGGTAATCTGCCGTCACTTCTGCTGCTCTCCAGCTGGCCTCCCTCTGTGTCCCTTCCAGTCCCTCTGGGTGCAGCCTCCATCCTGCACTGGGCCAGGGCCCTCGCCTGGGTTCCCTTGGGGCCTCTTGCCTCTCCTGCAATGGCCTGATTGTTTTCCTGGTTTCCCCAGCAGACTCTAAGCCCGGTCACTCCTGGGTCCCATTCATGTGGTACACGTGCTGGCTGCATGCAAGGCCTCCACCTGGCTGGGCCGCGTCTGGCTGCGCTCAGGCCCTCCCCTCACACCCTTTACCACTCTGCCCTCCAGGCTGAACCTGGTCCCTAGCTGCCACCATCCCTAGAGAGCAGCCCTGGGTTTCGGATCAGGAGATCACAGCTCTTGTCCTGGTTCTGCCATGCTATGCAGGAGTCATTTTTTATAACCAAATAAGAGAACCTAGGTGAATGTGCTTTCTAAATAAATACTTCATTTTTATGCAAATATAAGCCTTTCTGTGGGCGGCGTGTTTCCGTTTTAGCTGTAGCTCACTCCCAAGCCTATGTTCTATCCTCTGGTCTCTGTGTGTTCTGAATTTAGGGAAGGTTACAGCTGCTTAACTAGACAAGACTAGGAGTTTCTGGCAGTGAAGTCTCAGTTTTAAGGAGCGAGCTGGTGTTGCAGGGGACAGAGCATTTCCTGCACGCAGTCTAAGTCCTTAGCACCACCCCTCTCTTGCCAGAGTTGCTTATACTGAATTTCACTTAGTTTCTGCAAAAATGTGGGTCATGAATGATCATGAAATCCTCATCATGTGTAAACATGTCCATGAAAAAAATTTTTATTTTTATTTTTATTGATTATACATGTTCATGGGATACAGAGCTGACTGTCCGCACCTTTGCTCCAGATGTGGTGAGCAGATCAATACTGTCAGCATGCCCACCACCGCAAGCTGCAGTTATTCCTCGTGTCCCCCACTCAGCCTCTCCCCAATCCCTCCACCCCATCTCTCCCCACCCTTGCCCCTGCAACCCTGGGTCTGTTCTCTCCCTCTGCAAGTCCAGTGCACCACTGTGGTCTTTCCTTCCTTCCTTCGTTCTCTCTTAGCCTCACTTATGAGGACATGTGCTATTTTTCCCTCTGTGCCTGGCTTATTTCACTTAACATAATTTTCTCCAAGCAAATGGCAGAATTTCATTCTTTTTTATGGCTGAGTAGTATTCAATTGTGTATATACCACATTTTCCTTATCCAGTCATCTGATGATGGACGTTTAGGTTGGTCCCTTATCTTGGCTATTGTGAATAGAGCTGCGATGAGCATGGGAGTGCAGGTGTGCCTTCTGCGATGAGCATGGGAGTGCAGGTCTCCCTTCGGCATGATGATTTCCATTCCTTTGGGTATATTCCCAGCAGTGGGATTGCTGGGTCGTATGGTAGTTCTACCCGTAGTTGTTTTAGGAGCCTCCATACTGTTTTCCATAGTGGCTGTACTAATTTGCAGTCCCATCAACAATGTAGGAATGTTCCCTTCTTTTCACATCCTCACCAGTGTTTGCTACTCTCTTTTTAATTATAGCCAGTCTAACTAGAGTGAGATTTGATCTCAGTGTGGCTTTGATTTGCATTTCCGTGATGATTAGTGATGCTGAGCATTTTTCCATGTGTCCGTTGGCCCTTCCTATGTCTGCTTTTGAGAAATGTGTATTCAGCTCCTTTGCCCATTTTTAAAATTGTTTTTTTTTTTTTACTGTGCAATTGTTTGAGTTCTTTGTATATTCTGATATTAATCCCTTGTCAGATGTATAGTTTGCAAATATTTTTCCCATTCCATAGGTTGTCTTTTCATTCTGTTGTTTCCTTTGCTGTGGTTTTTAGTTTGATATAATCTCGTTTATTTTTTCTTTTGTTGCTGTGCGTTTGACGTCTCATTTGTAAAGTCTTTGCCATTTCACCTATTTTTTCCTTTAGTAGTTTTATAGTTTTAGGTCTTATACTTGACTCTTAAATCCATGAAAAAAAAATTGTTAAATTAAATCTGATTGCCTGTTTCTTTTTCCCCTTTTCTCTGTATACTTGTTTGTGTGCGTTGGTTGGGCTTGTGGTCTGTGGTAATCCTTGGCAGATAAGCAGGAGCAGCTGCCAAGGGTTTAAGAACACTTTGTGGAAGAGAAACTTAGCACCGAGAAATTCTGTGCGTGACTTAGTATGTTCTGTGAATGAATGAGGACGGCCACTCTTCAGTCTTAGTCCAGCGATCAGAGAGACAGTCCTATGGGGTGTGGTGTGTGTGAGGCTAGTCATTGTTCCATCTTACTATAAAGGACAGCAGAGGAGGTGGGGGCAGGAAGGGCTGGTGACTCGACATGACCCAACATACCTTAGACGTGGTGAGAAGTGCTGAGAGGTCACGTGCAACCAGGCCTTTTGCTATAGAAGTAGGCAAGTAATGAGTCATGAACGGAAGCATACACAGGACCCTTCTCCCCAGATCCCCACCTCTCCTCCAAGTTCACCTTCAGCAGAGAAGAGCCCAGTGGCTTTGCATCTGACACACGCCCTGATGTATCTGAGAGTACCCAGCTATGTCTGTGTTTACAGAATGTGGGTGCCTGACTTGGTTTGGGTGCCGGAGTAAGAGCTGGGAAGAAGGAGAGACCATCTCTCCTTCTCTTGTGCAGTCACAGAGGAGCATGGGCCTTGGTTGAGTTTAGGACTCAGGAACGCACCATTCCTCCTCTGTTCTTAGGCACATAAGCAGAAGCGTGTGGCTTTCTTTGGAGAGTGTAACAGGTGACCTGTGAAGAACCCTCCAGTGGCAATCACATACCTGACCTCGAAGAGATTGCAAGCTGTAGTTTTTTGTCTCCTTGTGTGTGTGCTGTTAAGGAGAACTGTATGAATCATGTGTGTGTGTGTGTGTGTGAGAGAGAGATTTTAAGGAGGAGGTGTATGGGTCACCTGTGCAGGTGTGTGTGATATTAAGGAGATAATGGATCACCTGTGCATGTGTACATGCAGTTAAGGTGTACCGATCACTCGTGTATGTGTGTGTGAGGTTAAGGAGGAGGTGTATGGAGCACCTGTGCATGTGTGTGTGAGGTTAAGGAGGAGGTGTATGGAGCACCTGTGCATGTGTGTGTGAGGTTGAGGAGGAGGTGTACGGAGCACCTGTGCATGTGTGTTTGAGGTTAGGGAGGAGGTGTATGGAGCACCTGTGCATGTCCGTGTGAGGTTAGGGAGGAGGTGTATGGAGCACCTGTGCATGTGTGTGTGAGGTTAAGGAGGAGGCGTACGGAGCACCTGTGCATGTGCGTGTGAGGTTAGGGAGGAGGTGTACGGAGCACCTGTGCATGTGTGTGTGAGGTTGAGGAGGAGGTGTATGGAGCACCTGTGCATGTGTGTGTGAGGTTAAGGAGGAGGTGTATGGAGCACCTGTGCATGTCCGTGTGAGGTTAAGGAGGAGGTGTACGGAGCACCTGTGCATGTCCGTGTGAGGTTAGGGAGGAGGTGTACGGAGCACCTGTGCATGTGCGTGTGAGGTTAAGGAGGAGGTGTATGGAGCACCTGTGTATGTGTGTGTGAGGTTGAGGAGGAGGAGTATGGAGCACCTGTGCATGTGCGTGTGAGGTTAAGGAGGAGGTGTACGGAGCACCTGTGCATGTGCAATTTTAGAAAGGAGGCTGCTGCATCACCCGTGCACCAACCAACTCTGCTCTTATTGTTTTCTACAGGAGACATGGGGGACAAAGGACAGAAAGGCAGTGTGGGTCGCCATGGAAAAATTGGTCCCATTGGTTCTAAAGGTATTTGTGATGCAATTCTTGCCTCATGTTCCCTGCCAGGCTCTCAGCGTCTGGATTCGTAGACGAACCATCTTGCCTGGTGTTCTTATTTATTTTTATGTACTTTACACACGAAAAATTGGTCCCATTGGTTCTAAAGGTATTTGTGATGCAATTCTTGCCTCATGTTCCCTGTCAGGCTCTCAGCGTCTGGATTCGTAGACGAACCATCTTGCCTGGTGTTCTTATTTATTTTTATGTACTTTACACATGATAAATTCTGTCGCAATGTTTACATTTTGGGAGTGATCAGAGCTGACTGCTCTGTGCCCACCAGGGTGTGGGGTGAAGAGCTCCTCACCCTGCAGGATCACACACCACCCCAAGGCCGAGGATCCAGAGCTAGTGTGCGTGGGCGAGAGTTTGGCTTTTCGGCTACAACTTGCTGAATGAGTTTAATAAAACAGAGCCTCATTTAAGTAACTGATGGACCATGCACGGGGAGCACTGTGCCTGTCCACACCCAGCTTCGGTGTCTTGGGCTTTTTGAGACCCACAGGATGATTCTCAGTGAGAGCAGGTGAGGCCACAGGAACGGGTGTGCCAGCGGCAGGTCTGGTGACCACCCTCTGGCTCAGAAAACACCTGTGGTTTCAATCTGTGCCATCTCTAATGCTACGTTGGACTCGCACAGCCTGGCGAGGTAGTAGATCAGGAGTTGTCCTCCCATGATGAGATCGAGGCCCAGGGCAGGTAAGGGATGGCCCCAAATCCACTGCTCTTAAGCTCCTCTTCTCATCAGCCAATCAACACACGCTTTCTGAGTACACAGGGCTTGTTCCATGCCTGTGCTGGAGTCTGGGGGACACCACAGCTGAGGGGGCTGAGCTGGGGGGCAGGGGATGGTGCAGAGCTGCCCTGAGAATCACAGGCAGGGAGGGAGTCTGGCTGGGCTTTGGCCAGTCCTGCTGCCTGGGAGCGGGTTAACCCAGGGACGTGAAGCCAAGGTTTGAGTTGTGAGTGGCTTCGGTGGTTTGTTCTGATCCACGGCCACACCCTCCCCCAGCCCAAGCCTGCCCCTGGTAGAAAGGGGTCCTTGGCCAGGAGTGTGCTGGGGGTGACCAGCTCAGCCCAGCGGTGTCTCCTGGAAAACCTGGAAGTACCTGCCCTAGGGATGGCCGATTCATTAAGGAGCACACAGATAAGCATGGTATAACAAGGGACATGTAATGCTTTACACAACCTTAAAAATTATGGTAAAATATCTGTAACATAAGATTTGCCATTTTCTACCATTTTTTCCCATTTTAATTGTACAATTCACTGTCATTAAGTACATTTTCAGTGTTGTACAACCATCACACTGTTTCCAAAACTTCTTCATCACCCCTAAGAGAAACTCTACCCATTAAGCATTGACTCCCCATTACCCCTCCACCAGCCCATGGGAACCCCTAATTCACTTCTGTCTCTATGAATTTGCCTATTCTGGATATTTCACGTAAGTGGAATCATAACAATACTGTCCTTTTGTGTCTGGCTTATTTCACTTAGTACAATGTTTCCGAAGTTCATCCACATTGTAGCACGTGTCAGAATTCCCTTCCTTCTAAGGCTGAGCAACGCTCCACTGCATGGGTGTTCCACATTTTGTTTCTCCATCAATCTACTGGTGGACATCTGGGTTGGCTCCACCTTTTGGCTGTTGTGAATAAGGCTGCAGTGAATGTTGGTGTACAAGTAGGGGTGTGTGTGTATGCTTCTAACACACAACCTGTGCTCTGGACACATTCCAGTGTCTCACCAGGGACAGCTTGCCAAGACCACCCTTGCTGGCTTTGCTTAGTCTCTGAGATTGTCATCTTGCATCCTTGCCATGCTGAGTTTTCAGTCACTTTCAGACCCCCAATGTTGGTAAAAGTGCACAAAGGAACTAGGATGGAGACTGCCAAGTTGCTCTCTCCTGTGAGGACGGAGCCTGAGTCTATAGACGTGGAAGTCGCGGCCCCTCCCAGAGACATTAGGTTCTCTCTGTGAGAAGAAAGATGGTGCTTTAGGAGCACGCACGTGACTCAGTTACATATTCACTGTTTAACTGTAGAGTAGCTGGAAGGCTCTGTTGCCATCCTGCTCAACCCCCTTGTTTTATAAGTTGAGAAACGTTGAGCGGCCGAGTGGTTCAGCAGCTTGTACTGTTTAACAGGGAGGGGGCCCAGGGCCAGGAAGGAGCTGTGGGCTCCTGGCGTCTGGACCCTTCTTGACATCATGCTGCCCAGAGGGGTCAAGAGGACTTTGATGACAAAGGAGATTATAAGTACTGTTTATTCTTCTTGAATTAGATCACCTTTAAGGTCCACTGCACTATATGAGGGCACTTCAAAAAGTTCATGGAAAGTAGAATTAAAAGATAATCCTAATCTTTCCATGATCTTTTTGAAGTGTGCTTGTACGTTCTATCTGAATTTTCCTGCTGTAATGAGGACATGAGGGGACCTGGCATTAGAATCAGCAGCCACTTGCTCATGGGGTCCAGGATTCATGAGGTGATGACTGCCAAGTGTTCTATGGAATATACTGGATTTCCCAGGATTGGTTTAGAGAATGGTCATCTGATAATCCCTAAAATCCCATCATATGCATGTGGCCCATGTCACATAAATAGAGCCTGAAGAGTTAATTATCTATGGAATATAGCTCCTATACTTCACAGCAAAAACAGGGTCCTGGAGAAATGCAAGGGCATCATACATAAGAGAAATAATATTTTAACCTTGATATTTTTGAACTCATGGAACATGTCCTCCTCTGCTCAGTGACTTTGACCTTGCTTTTCTTTTTCAGGTGAAAAAGGAGATTCTGGTGACGTAGGACCCCCAGGTCCTAATGGAGAGCCAGGTATGGCATAGGGCCCAAGGGTTTTTAATAAAAGTTACTAAAAATTGCACTTTCAGAAAAAGGAGATTCTGGTGACGTAGGACCCCCAGGTCCTAATGGAGAGCCAGGTATGGCATAAGGCCCAAGGGTTTTTAATAAAAGTTACTAAAAATTGCACTTTCAAAAAAAAAAAAAAATGTAGGTCGTTAAATAAAACCACAATGGGCTGGAAAACAAGGAATACATGTTACTGATACATACTCTCCGTGTCAACCATAGCCTCTTGTAGAATATTTCAATATTTGATTTTTCTCTACTCAAATCATAATGTCCTCCTTAGGGCTGTAGTCTGCTGGACTACTGTGTATTATTACATCTGCACACATAATTAGGCACTCGCGCACCTGTCCCACAGCACATATTCCTCATTTCCTAGTGGCTCTCCGCGTCCTGCAGGATCCCCCCTTTCCTTTTATCACCAAACTTCTCAGAAAAGCACTTCTGTCCTTCTTTAGACGTCCTTGCAGCTGATCCTCCATTAAGGTGGCTCCCAGCCAAGGTCACCAGGGGCCTCTGGGTCCAGCTCACAGGACTTAGCTCAGCTCCCTGTCGATCATCTGTTTCCTGACATGCGGTGACCAGGACCCGGTGGCTTGCCGGCTCCCTCTGCAGCCCTTCCTGTCCCTTACTCTCTGTCTCTTCTTTGCAAACTTCCACCTGCAGCCCCTCTGCATTCTCCAGATGGCAGCGGCCTCGTCTGCTCCCTGGTACAGCGTCTCTTCCATGCGGCACTGCCCAGGGGCCTGCACCAGGCCCAGCCCCACAGGTCCACTGTGAACGGGCATCTCTGCCGGGGGCCTGGTGCCCCCATTGTGCTCAAAGACCGCTTCCCTCACGTTCTGCATTTCCCACACAGCATGCTCGCCTCCCGTGCATGTCCCACACAGGCACACACTGCGATGGTGGCCGAGGTGAGGAGCCTCTGTGGGTCTCAGTGTCCTCGCAGGTAAAGCAGGGATAACTGCGCCATGCAGTCGTGGGTCTGTGTGAGAATTAAGTGAGTTCATACAGGCAAAGCATTTAGAACATCTGCTGTGTTGAAAGGCTCAGGAGGACTCACTGTTACTGTTACTCCAGTGGAGGACGTAGTTGCCACCTGTGCCCGGCCTCATCAGGACACTGGCGCGATTCCCTCCTATGTGTGCGGGTGGACACTGTCTGCATCCTTCATCCCTCCCCTCCATCAGCTCCCTCCCGTCGTCATTTAAAGATACTCAAGTGTTTCCTGTCTTAAAACAAAGCGAAACTGTTTAGAAGCCCCCAAGAAGCCCTCCCGCCTCTGCCTCTCTTGCTGCTCACATCCAGATCTCATGAGGCTCTTCCCCCAGGGCCTCTGTGTCCCCCATTCCTGCCCCATCGCCTGCTGCGACATCCCTGGGCTGCTGGATGGTGATCCAGGCACACCAGCCCTCCTCCCACTCGACCTTGAACAGCACCTGTCCCAGCTGCCGGCCACCCCCCTCCTCCTGGCTCCCTCTCAAGTCCCCACCTGTTACCCGCTGGTGCTCCCTGTTCCCTATCATCACCTGTGGCCGTCACCCCAATACCTGTTGGTGCTCCTTGTACCAGTTGTCACCTGTTGCTGTTACCCCATCACCCGTTGGTGCTCCTTGGGGCTGCTGGAAACACCCTCCCCGAGTCCTCTCCTGAATCTGTCCTCGGGCCCAGATGTGGCGTGGACGTGTCACGGGCTCGGCATGCTGGTCTTCCCCAAGCCCCGTCAGCCGCGGCTCCGTGTCTGTGCAGCTGGTCAAAGCAGACACCTCGGGCTGTGTCCTTCAGCTGCCCCAGCGGAGCCCGGCGTGCGGAGGAGCCCGGGCGCGGCTGCTCCCCGGCCTCCCGTCCTCGCAGACCTGGCTTCTCTCCTGCCGCTGCCCCTCTCCCTCTGCGGCCGGGGCAGGGCCCACGGTCACCCTGTGACTGAGCTGGTCCTGCCGCGGCCCTGTTAGATGATTTGTATTAATACTCATAGCTTAGTCGGAGAGTAAGGTGTCCCTGCTGGTGAAGGAGGAGAAGCGCTACGCCGACGCGCAGCGGGCCTGCCAGGGCCGGGGTGGCACGCTGGGCATGCCCAAGGACGAGGCGGCCAACGGGCTGATGGCCGCGTACCTGGCGCAGGCGGGCCTGGCGCGCGCCTTCATCGGCATCGACGACCTGGAGCGCGAGGGCGCCTTCGTGTTCGCCGACCGCTCGCCCGTGCGCACGTTCCAGCGCTGGCGCGGCGGGGAGCCCAACAACGCCTACGACGAGGAGGACTGCGTGGAGATGGTGGCCTCGGGGGGCTGGAACGACGTGGCCTGCCACGTCACCATGTACTTCCTGTGCGAGTTCGACAAGGAGCACGTGTGAGCGGCCGCGCCTGCAGGAGGAGTGAGGCCTGGGACCCGCCCCGGAGCCACGTGTGCGTCACCATGGCTCCGCCCGTGTCCAAGCTGCAAAACCGTCCTTACCTGCTGCAGCAGTGAAGTCCGCATGACGGCAGTGGGGCCTTGAACGACCACCTGCCCCTGATCTCTATGGGGAAGAGAACCCGCTTCAGCCTTACCTGCTGCAGCAGTGAAGTCCGCATGACGGCAGTGGGGCCTTGAACGACCACCTGCCGGTCATCTCTATGGGGAAGAGAACCCGCTTCACTGTGACCGATGCTTCTGTAACTTATACCAACACAGAGGGCTTTGGAAATGTCACTGAGTAGAAACAATCTTGCTTCGCTTCAAACCCAGATTTCGGGAAAACAAACAAATTCTCCAAACTTTACTACTGAGTGTGTGGTGTCATTTTGTTTTCTCCATTTCTTCGGTAGTGTCTGTAGCTATATAACAAATGACCCCAAAACTTATGGCCCAGGACAGAAGTATCTATCGCTTTGTAGTCTGGGTGTCTGGGCGGGGCTGGGCCACCTGGGTCCTCCACCTCAGGGTCTCTCACAGGCTGGAACCAAGATCCCCCACCCTGCGGCTTTGGCAGGGTTCAGTCCTTGCGGGTGGTTGGACTGCGGTCCTCAGTTTCTCACTGTCTGTAGGTCAGGGGTCGCCCTCTGTGCCTTGTCACATCCTGACCTCTCACTTCCTGGGCAGCTCACAACGTGGCAGCAGCAGCATCAGAGCAGCAGGGAGAGGTGGCAGCCTTTCATGGCCTGCCCTGGGAGTGACACCCACCCCTCTCCATGTCCTGTTCAGCAGGAGTGGCCACTGGGTCCAAACACACATGTGGAGGGGACTGCACAGGACCCCACACCAGGAGGGGCACCAAGGGAGCCATTTCAGAAGCTGCCTGCCACACCAACCCACAATTCTTTTTCTTTTTGTATCTCAGAACCTCCAGTGAAAAATAATGTGTCTGCATTTTTCAAAAGAAGCACATATACTATATTGCAATCCCAAGTGGGGTCGTGGGGGCAAGAGGGGGTTGTGGAGACAGCTCCCCAGGGGGGTCTTGTCAGGGAGGCCCTGACTGCCTTTTGTTCTGGATTATCTTTTAAGGATGTTTGTATAGGAAACTGCCTTGGAAGATAAAGACAGCATCACCCCCGTCACCCTCCACCCTCTGAAGAAAAGGGAGGTTTGCTTACAGCCTCAGAAGATAGCACTTGTGTCCTATTCTGGGGTGAGGGACAGGCCTGGCTACTGTCCAGTATAGTAAAGATGATGTCTCCCTCCAGAGGGGAGGGCATGCATGCTTTCCACCTGCTATAAAAGATTTGGCTTCCCTAGGCTCAAGGGTCCTCCCTGTAATCGACCCGCCATGTGTGCAGGTGCTGTCCGCTCCTCTGCATGAAACCCGGGGGGACTGGGGCTCAGAGTACTGGTGCAGAAATGCTAATGCTCTGGCCACTGCTATTGCTGTGAGTAATAAATCCTTTGTCTCTGATCCAGGAGTCTTAGGTCTTTGGCCAGCATCCGTGGAACTGGAGCAGGCTGACTCGGTAGCTTGTGAGTAGAGTAAAATCTGAGGTCCTTTGCAGTTCTTGACAGGACTATCTTGAAATTTCTGTGGATTTAATTATCTACTTCATCGGAAGGTCATAGCAAACACGTTTATTCAGGTGTCATGGACCTGAGAGGTACCTGGTTCGGTTGGAAAGAGGAGTTCTCGGTCTTCATGGGGCAGAAAGCAGAATCAGGTGACAGACGCACAGCCAGAGGGCAGGAGCCACTCCTCACCTGTGGAAAGGAACCAGCAGAAGCTGCCAGGATTTTACTTTCCCTGCTCAGACACTGCATGAGTGATCTGATTCTTCCTACCAGCGCTTACATCCTTGAGCCACTCCTCACCTGTGGAAAGGAACCAGCAGAAGCTGCCAGGATTTTACTTTCCCTGCTCAGACACTGCATGAGTGATCTGATTCTTCCTACCAGCGCTTACATCCTTCCAGCGCTTATAAGCTCCCGCATCCATGAATTCATTTGTGAAATATCGACTCTGTTTCTGACTCCATCAGGCCCACAGCTTTCAGCGTGGAGGCTCTACCCAGCATGTGCAGGGTAGCCTCATGAACTGGCTGACAATGCCGTGCGTGGGGGCAGGCTGTCACTGAGCAGGTCATCTCAGTGGGAGGGGGGCAGGTCCTCAGAGACCCACACTGCCCATCATCCCTGTGAGGAAGCAGAGGCTCCCCCAGGGCCCCTCACCCCACCGTAACCCACCAACACCCCCATTTACTGAGAGTGGCCTTGAGAAGACAGGGCACAGACAGGTAGGGGTGTTGTGAGTGTTCTCACACAGGCACTGTGGACACACGTGAGTGTGACATGTGCAACGTGACACAAGCATGTGCAGTACAGGATGTAAGAATCCTTCTTCACCCCCATCTTCCCAATCAACTTTGCTCCAGTTGGAGGTTAGTCTTTCTAGGCATTTTTTAAAAAAAGTGCACATGTGCACAAGCAAAGATATACATGATTATTAAAAAAAATAATCCTGGAGTTGATCATGGGTGAACATTACCTCACTGACAAGCTGTCTTGGTGCCCTTCCATGGGTGGCTTTTTCCTGCAGCGTGGTGCTCCGCAGCATGGCTCTGGGGCTGTCCCCGAGACAGATGCTTGAGTCATTTCCACTTCTCGCTTACAGTCAATCCTGCAATCAACATCCTTGATTATGCTTCATGTGCACATGTGAGATAGTATCTGCAGCACAGAAATAGACCAGGAAGCTGAGTGGCCACATTTACAATTTGGACAGTTAGATGCAGGAGAGGAGAGAAAGGGCCCTGCCAATGAGGGTGCAGGTGCCCAGGGGTTGTGGGAACCCAGGCCTGGCTGGTCTTGCCCACTTCCCTGTTTAGCTATGAGTCTGGTTCCTTGAGCTGTGAGGGGAAAGAGTTCTTTGGCCTAGAGAGGTTTGTCCTCTACTCTGTTTCTTACCCCCTCTAGAAGCAGAGGTAGTTGTTTAATGGATGGGCCTTATCGTTGTGCTGAGTGACTTCTCCTGGACACGTATCCCAGTCAAACAGGAAAGAGTCTTCCAGTCTGTCTTTAATGAAGCCGTCACATGCTCAAGCCTGCTCTGCTGATGCTGGGGGAGCTGAGCTGCTTCCCACCCCCCGGGATGGCTGTCGCATGCACAGGTGTCCCCATGAGGCTGCCTGGCTCTGCTCTGCCTGGCAGGTGGCACCCTCTGCCTGTGCATCCAGTCTGGGGGCTTCACGTCCACCAGTCCTGGGGATGCTTCTGAGCTTTGGGATCCTGCAGAGTCAGGGGTGCTGCCCACAGAAGGGGATGGAGACCCCTTTTCCATATACAGAGCCTCCTCTGTTACCTGGTTGTAGAGAAGTCAGAGCATCCACGGGGCCTCAGGCTGCCTGTTCTCCCCTCTCCCTTTCCTTTTGTACTAATCCCGTCCTCCTGCCAGTCAGCGTGAGCTAATAGCCACCTGTTCCGCCAGCTCATCAGATGACCTGGCATGTCCCAGCTTGGAGGGTGACGCTGTGACCTTGACTAAGTTCCTTAGGCCCCTTTGGCCTCGGTCTCCTCGTTTGTGGGCCTTGTGAGGGTTACTTGAGACTCATGGAGCACTGGGCACCGCCGGGTACTGAGCGCACAGCCCTCTGGGCGTGGTGAGCCCCCTTGAAGGGCAGCAGCAGGAACGACCCAGTGTGCGGTGTCCCCAGCCACTGTGTTCAACATCACCCAGGACATTTCTCAAGTGGACGGAGAGCCTCTCTGGGCCATCACCCTTTTCTTCACCTCTCATACCTGAATACATGAGGAAGCAGGAAAACCTGGGGACCACTGCATGGTGACCACACTCAGAAAGAAAGAGCCAGGAAGCTAGAAGTCCTCTTCCTGGAGGAGAGTGTCCTCTGGGCTCCAGGGTTGGTTCAGGGGATTAAAAGGGGCCAAAGCAATGGAGTCCAGCTCCAGGTTCCCATTGGAGCCCCTCTGTCCCCTCACTAGGGGCTGGAGTGGTGTCCACAGGGCTGTCAGGAAGCTAGGATTCCCTGTCCATTGCTGCTGGCAGGATCTGCCCCTGAGCTGGCCCAAGTGCCCTGTCGTGGCAGGACAGATGTCTCGCCAGGGCAGACGCAGTCTGTATGGGCCTGAGACTTGTACTGTCTGAGGGCCTGAGTAAGGTGAAAGCCAGCGGGGAGGTGGCGGTCAGGTGGGAGGATTGGAGGGGCCTGTCCGAGGGGGGCTGGAGCATGAGCCCGTGTGGCTGTGCGGTCCCCTGGAGCTCCGCTTTCTGGCTCTATGGTGGGTCTGAAGCGTGCGGACCCGCCGTCTAGGCAGCGCACCTGGAGCACCCCTGCACCTGCCTGGGCCTCTGTTGCCTCAGCTTGCAGGTGGGGTTGGACGGAAACAGCTCTGTGCATTCATAGCCCTGCAAGTCTTGCGTGAAGTCAGATGGAGATCCGCGGCCACACGGGCCCCACCCTGTACATCCTTTCTTTAAGCTTTATTTAGGGGAATTTGTGTTCAAGTTAAATACAGCAAAGGCACACGTACCCTTTATTTGTACCTGGATAATATACCTCTATAGGATTATGAATGTTTAAAAGCAAACATGATAGGACATAAACCACCAGGCATAATGTCAGAACCACTGCCCCTAATTTAGATCCCACAATAGGGACCTATTGTGCAGACTGCACAGTCTGATTTGTAAGGTAGTAGGGAAATGGTTCGGTTAAGGGGAGAACAGGATTTATCAGGTGCTGCATTGAGGCATGACCAAAAGCTGGTGCACATATTTTTTTCAGAGCCTCTGTGAAGCGTGGGCTGAGATGGATGACCACGGAGACACAGCCTGGGGCTGCCCGGCAGGTGACTGCGGATCTGTGGTTCCACACTGCCATCTAGCGGGACGGGGGGATGGAGGGCCCTGGTGACGGGGGCGACAGGTGCCGGGAGGCTTGCAGAGCTGCCGAGGGTGCTCAGGTGCCCCCGGCCACGTACCCTCCGGGAATTGTTTTGGACGGTGTGTGCGTGTGTGTGCACGCGAGTGTGAGTGTGAGAGACGGGGGGGGGCGCCAGTTAGAGATGGGCGGAGAGGAGCAGACAGGACAAAGAGCAGGTGGGGAGGTGGGAGAG